GGAGCCCCGTGCTTGCAGCCCTCCACGTCCCCCGCAGAGCTGACACCTTCTCCCTTCTGTCTCAGCCCCTAATGCAGGCCTGGGGCACCAGGCACCCGGGTCCTCCCGGGAAGGAAGGCAGGTGCCCCCTGTGTGTGCAGACACTGTGCCCAACACCACAAGCTTGGGGAGCCAGCGGCCCCTGCCTCAATGTTCCACCCCCAAGACCATTTCTAGATGCTTTTAGTCAGAGAGAAACCCTACTGAGACACCTAGCGAGTCCTCCTCACCCCAATTCACACCCACCATCACCAGCCCCGCCCAGCCGCACCGTGGGACAGGGTTCCCACCCCACCTCCTCAGGACAGAGGCCCCAACCACTCTTGTGGGACAGATCAAGAAACTGAGGCTGGGGGCGGGTAAAGGGATGGCTCAGAACCAGCGCAGCGGGCCCGTGGGGTGGAACCAGGACCCTGGCAAGAACTCAGCGGGAGCCGGTCCAGGGCGCTGCGATTCCCCACCCTGCCCAGGCAGCCCCAGCCTCCCCCAGGGCTCCCAATTAGCATCCCGAGATGGCAAAGCAGCAGCCCAGGGACTGAGCAGCCTCTGCCCGCCTTATAAGGCAGCCTCGGTGGAAACTTGGCCGTTGTGAGCCTCAGAGCCGGAGGTGGGTGGTTCCCAGGGGGAGCAGAGCCAGCAGCTCACGGCTGTGCAGACATGGTTCTGGGTCCCAGGGCCCAGCCCCACCCAGAGCCACCCATACAGGGGCAGCGTAAAGGCAGGGACTTGGGTGAGGGGACAAGACCGTACTCAACCAGAGCCTGAGAGAAGCGGGGGTGACCAAAGGGTGACAAAGAGAGTCAGGGGCCAGGGTCAGGGGTCAGGGCCCAGGAGCCTCAGAAACACAGACCCCAACATGCCAGGACGGAGCAGGTCAGACCTGTGGGTTCTTGGTTGACCAGGAAAGGATCTGCTTGGTCCCTGCAAGGTCCCATGGGGTCCCCGGGGTCCCCGTGTCTGCCTGCAGGAACCACAAAAAGCCATCTCACCCCTCCAACCGTGTTTGACTGAGCCCTCCCTACATCTGGGTCAGTCAGCCGGTTTAAAAGAATCAAAACCAAAACAAACAAACCCTGAAAAAAACAAACAACAGCCTTACCTTCAAATATCCCAGGACCTAGTCGGGGGCATGGAGGGAATTCTGAGAAACACCGAGCAAATGCTGGGAGTGGATATCGCTGGCTATAGGTGAACTGTAGATTCTAGCTCCTAGATTTTCTGAATTTGAAAGAAAAGGTATTGCTGAGAAACGATTTTCACATTAGAAGTTTAGTGGAGGAGGGGCACTGGGAGGCTCAGTCAGTTGAGTATCTGCCTTTGGCTGGAGGCGTGATCCCAGGGTCCTGGGATCCAGCTCCTAGAAGGACTCCCGTTCCCTCTGCCCCTCACCCTGCACAAGCTCGTGCAAGCACACACCTCTCTCTGTCACAGAAATAAATATTTTTAAAAAGAAAAAAAAAGGAAAAAGGAGTTTAGCACAGGAAAAAATTTTCTTGCAACACAATTAACATTCCAAACCAAACACAAGATAACACACACACACACACACACACAAGCAAAAAGACACAGGAGTCAAAGGAAGTGAGGCTACTTCTGGCTAGTAGGAGGGCTTTAGGGAAGAGGTGCCATTTGAGCCGGACTCTGAAGGATGCATAGGAGTTCAAAAAGCAGTGCTGTGGAAAGGAAGGAGGTCAGGGGCCAGGGGTCAGGGGTCAGGAGGTCAGAGCAGGAGGTGAGGAAAGAGGGCCTACGGAGGCTGTGACAAGACCAAAGCAGGAAGAGCCCAGGGAGCAGGGGTGAATCCACTGTGGAGGGCCGCACAGAAGCGGGCCAGGAAGACTTGGGGCCGGTACGAAGTTCATCAGTGCCGTGCCGTAGGGGGCTCCATCTGGGAGCAACTCGGCTGTGGTCCCCGAGACCCTGTCCTGCACCAGCCCAGAAGGCAGAGGAGACACAGAGCTCCCGCCCTCCCGGATCCTTTGCCCCTACGGTGCAACTGGCCTTGGGTGCCAGGGACAGCGTGCCCACGGGGGGCAGTCAGGGTGGGGGGTGTCTGTGAGGGGGCAGAAGGGGATGGGAGAGCTAGTGGGGCAGGAAAGACGGATGCGAAGCGAGGCTGAGGGACAACCAGGTCTGTGTCTGGATGGACAAGACAGGCTGTGACCAGAGGAGGGGCAGGGGAGAAGATGCAGCCTCCGAGCAGGGGACCCCCGGAAGCTGCTGCGACAGATTCCAGAAGCACAGCTCCACCAGGAAGGCCCTGCCCGCCCCTGGGCTTGCCCAGGACTCTAAGACTGGACATCCAAGGCCGAGGCCGTCAGGGCCAAGTCCTCCGGCCCACAGTGGGCCCAGCTTCCTTTTCCTCATCCGACGTCTCACCCGGCCTTACTCGGGGGCTCAAGGACCAGAGTCACCCGCAGTGCTGCCCGAAGGGAACAGAATCCTCCCCAACTGAGCCATCTGAGCCCCCCACTCCCTCCAGCACCCCCTCAACACCCCACCAGCATCCCGCCCCTTGGCAGCCACCCGTCTAACCAGATCTGTCCAGCCTGAAGGTTCTCAACCTGTGAGCACGGGTCTTAGAGAGCCCCTTCCCCACCCAGCCGATGCGACGCAGCGGGTCAGGGCACACGCATGCACACACGTGCCTGGCACACACACCCCCAGCTTATGCTCCTTGGCAGAAGGACAGCCCCTGGATCCCCGTCTGCTGGGCCCACCAGCTGCTCTCGGAGGAGCACCAGGGCTGCTGACTACAGAGCTCTGACACTGGGTTTGGACAGTTAAACTTTCTTCCATGGAGAAACTCTGTAGTTCCTCTGAGCTCCAGGGTCCCGGGCACCTTGGGACAGCTGCCTCAGCTCCCCTTCTTGGCCTGGTTAAATCCTACTTTCTCTAAGGCTGGCTCACAGGGCTTGGGGCTCTGGGAAGACCTCCACTGCCCCCTTAATGGCTCCTGGTGGCAGAAGCCAGCCTGGCTGGCCCCAGCGGCCCCGGCTCCCAGGACAGCCTCTGGGCCAAGGGGGGCCCGAGCCACGTCGGCGCTGGAGAAAGACATTCTTGCACTTCTGAGGCTGTGCCCCACCTGCCCTGCTGACCCAGGGCAGTACCACCCTGGGCAGACCCCCTCCTGCCCCTCTCCCAGAGCCAGACCGCCTCCTCACACATCCAGCACCAGCCACCATCGAGATCTGGACACAGTCGGGGGCACCAACACCTCACCCCCAGGAGGGGGTCATACCTGGTGGCAAAGGCCCTGGACCAACAGAAGACCCCTCCCCACACACTGGACATGCCTTCGTGCCAGCACCACAGCACCTGAGTGGGTGGGCGTGGCTCTGCAGGGTCATGTCTGGGGAGACAGGAGAGTGGGCTGAGGCCCTGCACTGCAGGCAACGCGGAGTCTCGGCCCGTACCCCCATCCCCAGCTGCTCCCACCAAATCGTGAGGAGCACGGGGAGCCCCCATCCAATGCCCCGCCCCATCCAACGCCGAAACCCATCCCGGTCCCTAAGCCCGTGGAGCATGGGAAAACTTGCATTCACAAAGGAAAACCAAGAAAAACTGAAAGCAGACGCGGACGGGCTGGCGCGCACCCACGTTCACAGCATCGTTCGTAACAGCCGAGGAGCAGCAGCAAGACGGGTCCACCCACATGACGGGCTATTAACTCAGCCGTAAAAAGTACAGAAGTGCCAACACGTGCGACACCGCAGATGGCCAGCGAGGACACAGTGCTCCGCGAAGTCGGCCGGACACAGAAGGATGAACATGGTCAGATCCCACGTCTGGGAGGTTTGCGGGGACGGAAGGTAGATTGGGGGGGGGGGCGCCCACGGCTGGCGGAGGGGGCAGGGAGTTATGCTTGCTGGGGACACAGCTTCAGCTGGGGAAGGTTCTGGAGGCAGATGGCAGCGTCGGCTGTGACGCCATGAGCGGGCTCGATGCCACCAAGCTGCACACTTCACAACGGCTCAAGTGGTCAATTCACGCTACGTGTATTTTACCAAAATGAAAAGTAATAATCAAAAGCCTACAATGTTCTGTTTATCCGACCCAAAGAATACTTACTGGACGTTTACTGGGTCCCTTTCCCAGTAAACCCTGGGAAAGGGTTTGCAGCCCTGCCGGTTCCTGACCGCCGAGGGGCCCAGAACACCGTGTCCCACCGCCAGATGTTCCCAAGCAGGCCCCGGCGAGCTCCCCAAGGAAGCACAACTCTGGGTTTGGGCCCTCGGAGGATAGCAGCATCCAAGACCCTGGCTTCCCTCCCTCACTGGAGGAGCACCCCACGCGGAGCTGCGCGCAGGTATCACGGGGATCCCTGGCCCAAGGACCTCTTCCCAGCGGCCCCAAGAATCAGGGCAAAGAGATCAGGCGTTCTTGTTTCTTGTGCCTCTGGCCACGACCCTACCTCCCTAAGAGCTGGAGAAAGACCCTCCAGGACAAAACCTCGGGAGGGAATGAACTCCCTCCTCCCACCCAAGGCCCTGCCACACACGGCAGCCCACAGTCCCTCCTGAGCAGGAGCCTGCCTCTCCATGGCCCGGTAATCAGCAGCACGTGGGAACCCATCCTTGGGTCCTAAACCCATTCTACCCATGTCCCGACGTGAGCCTGCCGCCTCCCCATTTCCCAGACTTTGGGATCCCCACCGTTCGGGACTCTCCGGCAGAAGCTCTACACCATGGCGCATTCTGACCAGTTGAGCCCCCAAGATTCTGCCCGAAGTCCAACACAAGCCGAGCTTCTGCCACATCCTGGTCCAACCTCCATGCACGGAAAAGGCCACCAGTGCCCCCATCAGGCTTGGGACCCCTGCCCTGGTGTATTCTTGGCCTCCCCGGAATCGTGTCTCCATCACCTGCTACCCATCCCTCCCCCCACAGCCAGACTGCAGGCAAAGCCAGCTCCCACCCCTCCGCGCACCGGAGCACGGAGGACATGCACTCGCTACTCACCCTCTTGGCTCTTGGGGGGAGCCTCGACCACGGGGGGCTGGGGCTTGGGCTCCAGCCGGCTCTGCAGCTGAGACATCAAGGCGTGTTCTGAATTCTCCAGGGTCTGGGGTGGGAGCGGGGAGGCGGGCCCCTCGGCTGGCTTGGGCACCTGGATCTCGACCCTCTTGGGGGCTGCGTCCACAGCGGGAGCTGTGGGCATCTCGGGGATCTTGGAGGCAGGGCTCTCCATCCTCCTGTGAGCTGACTCCTGGGGCTTGCCTATGGTGATCTCTGTTCTCCGAGGGGCAGGCTCCGGCGTCTTGTGGCCCAGTGCCTCTGCTCGCTTGAGCCCGAAGCGGGACGGCCCGGTGGCACCGGCGCTCTCCACCTGCTTGGACGAGATGTCGATGGAGATCTCCGTGCGCCGGGACACGGGCTCGGCCTTGGGCCCCGAGAGCTCAACCCTCCGCAGGGCAGCCTTGGGGGATCGCTGGCTGAGGGAGTCTACATGGCGGGCTGCAGGCTCGGAGTTCTTCACTCCCAGGTCCTGGAACTTCTGGGTGGAGCTGGCCACAGTGGCCCGGAGCACAGGGGTCTGGACCCTCCGGTGCGGGGTGGAGTTGGGCGTCTCGGCCTCCTCGACCTCAAAAGATCTTTTCAGGGCTGGAAAACAGAGAGGGGGGATGTGAGGAGTGGGCAGTTGGGGAACGGGCTGCTAAGGTAGTGGGCAGGGGTGCTGGGCAAGGGGCCCGGGAGACTCCCACACCCTCCACCTCTTGGGAAGAAAGGGAACAGCCCCACTGTCCTAGGGGACCCCAGCACCAGCAATCCCGCCCACTGGAGGAGAGGGAGCAAGAAGGTTGGAGTCTGCAGGACACCAGCCTCTCTGTCCCCCACAGCCACAGTGTCCACGGGCCAGCCATGTTTTCTACAAAGATGTTCTGGCTCAAGGGGAGCTTTGATTTCTTCCTTGTCGGCCTTCACCTGTCCTCACCTCCACCCAACACAGACACCACTAGACAGCAACTGGGCAGGGCAGTGGGGCAGGGAGGGGGCGTCCTCAGTGACACCAGCCACAGCCATAACCTGCAGAATCATGACGGCAAGGAGGTCATCGTAACAACCCGCCACCAACAGCGGCACAGAACCTCTAACACAGGCACTGGGTTTACTGTGTACGTTGATGCCTCCCTCGACCCTTTGCTGTAAACACTGCTGTTAGCCCCTGGTACAGATGGGGGAACTGAGGCCCCAATGCTTAAGAAATATGCCCAACGGTGAGGAGATAGAGCAGCGGAGCCAGAAGACGCGTCTGTCCAGCTGCGAGGCCCGGGGTTCCGTCCACTTGGCTGTCCCGTTTCAGGTGGCGTAACGGAGCCCTGACATGGTCCACACCAGCCCACTCTCTCCGTCCTCATCCCTGGCTTCATCTGACCCCTCACTCCGCTACCTGCCCCAGCCAGACCTCGGCCCCCGGGGGGAACCTGGCCATCTCACTCCCGCTCCGCAGCCCAGTGCTCCCGCCCGGCCACCCGCCACCTCTGCCAAGACCTGTTCCAAGGCCAGGGGACGGTGCCTGGGAAGCCACCAGCCATCCCCACAGTCCTGGGAGCTACCCTCCTAACAAGAACAGTCGCTCCCGTTACCACGATCAGAGCAGGAAGGGCCCACATGGCAAGAACACTTGCCAGTGTCTTCCTGGCCCGGCCCCCAGCAGGCTCGGAGGCCCACAGTGTCTCTCCCACCCCTCGCCCCACCTTGCCAACACAGCTCCCTGAGCCCAGGATTTCCTGGGACCCCATAAAGCTCCTCCCTGGGCCCCCAGCTGGCCTGGGTCCCAACAATGACAATCTGGGGCCATTCTCACCACCATTCTCCCAACCCTGTGTCTTCCCTCCGCCAATTTCCAGCATAGTCTTGTCTCTTCCCAGGGACGGTGTTTCCTCCAGAGACCAGGGCCTGGCAGGTGGCTGAGTGGGTGGGTGGCCTGGGAAGCAAGTGCTCATAAGCACGGGAAGAGTGAGAGAGCGAAGGACACCCTTGTCCCCAGCATCTGGCTGCCGTGCTCCCCCACCGCAGCACCCAGCCGCACCGCGCTCAGCCCTGGGCACACAAAGGGCACAAAATCCTGAGTTGCAAAGCTCAGCCATCCCAGAAGCCCCACGGGACAGACACGTCGCTGGTCCGAGGGACCTAGCCTGTCACTGAGCACTCTGTCCCGGGAACCCATCTGCCTCCCGCTCAGCTCCGGGACCACCAGGCAACCCGGGCGCCCCACGTGGCCAGAGCTTCAGACTCGGCCGGAGAATCTGGAAATCTGTTTTTCTGTCTGGACCATCCGATCTGTATACGCAGGCGCAGAGGAAAACCAGCCCTCTTCAAACACGGAGTGGTCACATGGAATCCCACCCAGGTTGCAACTGGCCTGGGGACCCAGCGAATGACCTCCGGTGGAGAGCGTGGCCAAGGGCACTGGGGTCCCGTGCCGGGTGGCAGGGATGTGTCTGAGATGCCACAGCTCTCCCCGGGGGTCTAGCCCCTAAGAGAACCACGGGGTGCAAACAGTTCGTTCCCAAGAAGGCTGAGGTGACAAAGGATGGGCCAGAGGGCCTTAAACTGGACAGGAAGTCCAGAGCTGGAACACCTGGAATCGGGACCTTTGGGGTTCCCCGGGGCCTCCACCCCCGGCCTTGAGAGCACCGTCCAAACTACCCCCCCAAATGTCTGTGAGCTCCCTAGAGGAGGGGTCTGCACTCCACCCACCTCGGCATAGGCATTTCCAGTTGTCCCTGGGGTTAATCTCTGGGGCCCGAGGTGGAGAACAGGAATCAGGTGGGGGGCCTTTGCCCAGGTTTGCCCCAGAATGAGACGACCTCTGCGGGAAGCCCACTGGAGGTGCCCTCGACCACCGACGCAGGAGGTAGGACCATGCCCCACGCAAAGCCCTCCCTCACTCAGGCACACACGGTTGCTGGGGGGAGCGATGAGCCAGAACCTGACCCACACACAGATCAGCGGTGAGCCCAGTCAGTAGCCCCCCTCCCTCTGCAGGTCACTGCCACGGCCACTTCCACAGACGCACATACCAGTCTCCACCTGCCGCCCTCTCCACCCACTTCGTGGTCCGTCACAGCACCCTTCACCCTGGGCCCTTCATGACTTGTGTGCCTCTCGTCCGGCACACCATCGGCCGAGGTGCTCAGCCTTGGGTTTCAGGCCCCCTCCCATCCCATCTCCCATCCCGTCTCCCATCCCGGGTCAGTCCTGGGCTCTGAGGGAACCGGAGCCATTCCCACTGTTGGGGCGGGGACTGTCGGCAAGCGTCTAGGTTTTAGGGTAGCTCTTGCCAACTTACACCATCCCCCCAAACAAGCACACCACCCCCACCGCCTCCCCTGATTTCAAGTCTCCGCCCCCCACCACCAAAGCCAGGTTCGCCTCCTGCCCCGCCCCAACGCAGTTCACAGCTCTCCCTTCGATGTCATCCAGGCCACATCAGGAATACAGTGACTCGCTTCAGGGTGGGGGGGTATTTGGGGTCCCCGGAAACATCTTAACTCCACGAGCCACCTCTCCGTCCCTTCATGGGCCTCAGGTGCTGCTTCTGCATGAGCTGGAGGTGGGAGCAGGTCCCAGGTCCTGGACCCATGGGCACGGAGCCCTGGGGAAGACCCAGACCAGGGGTCTCAGGAGCGGAGAGGAACAGGGTCTTCGCTGCCTTTTCAGCCTGAGAAGCTCCACCTCCCCGTATGGTTCTATAGGGGGTTGAACTGTGTCCCCCCAAAAAATATGGCCCAGTCCTGACCCCCAGAACCTGTGAAGGGGACCTTTCTTGGGAAGATAAGGTAAGGCTTCAAGAGGACGCCATCCTGAATGTAGGAGGGGCTCTAAATCCTCTAATTGTTCTCCCACGAGACAGAAGACAGGGATTTGAGGCACAGAGTTAGGCCCTGGGAGACCATGGGGACCAGCAGCCATGCGGCCAAGGGACGCCTGGGGCCACCAGAAGCTGGGGAAAGCAGGAAGGATTCTTCCCTCATGCTTCTGGAAAGAGTATGACCTGGCCGACACCTTGACTTCGGACTTCAGGCCTCCAGAACTGTGAGAATCAATTTCCGTGGTTTGAGCCCCGCAGTCCGTGCTAATTTCTTACAGCCGCCCCAAGAAGTGACCCCAGGGACCGCTGGAGGGCTGAGACCTCTGGGCTCTCCCGATGGTGCTGCCACCCCGCCCTGCACCCCAGCCCACCCCCCCATCAGGGACCCAGGAGAAAAAGCCACCTCCTTTTCCTCTTCTGGAATCACACAAACCCTAGATGGTAGGAGCCATCGTCGGGAGTGACCCCGCTCTAGATTTACACTGGGAAATTTGGTGATGAAACAAGGTCATTTTTTAGGGCAGGCTTCCCAAGGGACGCCCTGTATAAAGCTGCCTCCCCACGGAGGATGTCCTGACACGAACAGCACCCAGCTGGGAAAAATTAGCAGACTGTCCTGAAGCTTCCCGCCTTGGAATCCTAAAAACACACTCTGGGTCCCAGGCACACACATACAGCCCCCTGTCCTTGGAAGCCCCCTCCACCAGCTCCAAGGGAGACAGGTATGACCTCCCCCAGCGGCAGGTCCCTCTCCCCTTCCCATGTCTGGGAGGGAGTGATCCTGCCATCCATCCCCACGGGGCAGGAGACCCCTCCCCTCTGCTTACACAGTTCCCAAAACAAGACTGCCCCCCTTCTCCCTCCTCTGTATTCAAGTCCCCCCCCAAAGCCAGGCTCAAACCTCAGCTGCTCCCCAAGGCCCCCCGTAATGGGCACCAGGAGCCTGGAGACAGTGGTCCGTGCACCTTGGTCTGGTGCTGGGAATTCATCCCCAGGAAATAATCCGAAGCAGATTTACACGTGGGGACGTTCACATCAGCGTTAAAACAGCAAACGCTGGAAACAATCCGGGTTTACGTAGATGTTCTAAACCCATATGCTGAAGTCTCGCGCAGTCATCAAAATCACAGTTTTGCAGATGAGAGATGGTGAGAATATCGAGTAAAAATAGCAGACGCGTGCCCAGATCTGGCTGCGTCGCACACGCACACGTGCGGTGCACACGCACGCTCGCGGAGGACGCCCGCTCTGGAAGGGGCTCACGTGGGAGCTTTTCTCCACGAGGCCTCCTGCCTTTTCCCAGCACGCCGGCCCCACGTGTGGGCCACTTAACACTTTCAGGAAGTAAGACCATCAACACTGTTTTTAAAAAACAGCCCTTGCTGCGAACAGGGGAGGCTGTGGGTAATCACACGCCAGCCCAGCCCCACTCCTCCTGCCCCAAAGCCCAGCCTTCTCCAGCCCACTAACCACCTCCAGGCCCGGCCGGCGCGGAGGCCGGGCCGCCTCTCCAGATGCTCGGCCGTCCGTGCCCGTGGGGGCAGAGGCAGGAGCAGCCCGGATCTGGGCCTGTTTAAGGAGGAATGCGGGGCACACAAGGGGCCATTGTGCAGGCCCCTTCCGACCACAGGCTGCAGCAAAGCTTTCCCGCTTACGGGTGCACAGAGCGGCCAGTGTGGGGAGGGGGCACCGGGGGCGAGCATGGAGCCCTGATCCAACGGGGGAGGGGTGGAGGGGACAAATGTTATGCAAGGAATGTCAGAGACCAAGGTCAACCCTCAAACCC